CAGGTTTGGTTTCTCCTCAGGCCCCTCTCCTTGGCTTGTAGATGGCTGGCTGCCTTCTCGCTGTCTTCACGTGGTCTTTCCTCTGTGTGCGTGCATCCCTGGTATCTCTCTCATAAAGACACTACTCATATTGGAGCCATATGACCTTATTTAACCTTAATTACCTCTTAATGGCTCTATCTCCAAATATGTTATAATTTCAACATATGAAATTGGGGGGAGAATGCAATTCAGCCCCTAACACCCCAGATATTGAGAAGACAAAACAGCCAGAATCAAAGCATACTGGAACACAAGGAATTAAATTGATCTGGTCTATTAAAAGAAGAGGCATGTGTTTGTGTTTTGGAAATTTCTGAACAGATTGAGGCCTGGAAGATATTGTGAAACTGAATTCTAAGAATAAAGATATTTTTATTATTGAAGTAGGATTTATTGAAGGGGAAAAATATTGAAGGCAGAGATTCCATGAAATAAAGCTTTAATCTTCCCAGAGTGGAGGGGGAGTCCCCCCAGGAGCAGAGTGTACGGATGCCAAAGCCAAATGAAGTAGTGAGGATTAAGGGTAAGGGCCTGGGAGACAGGCATGGGAGGAGGAAGATCCCAGGGCTGCCAAGTTGGGACTTGATTGAGGGAAAGACTGAGAAGATAGATTATTTCTCTCTATAGGCTGGGTGAAAAAAATATACATATCTGTCATCTGGGCCTTGAAGTTTCACATTGGAAAATCCTTTGCTTGTAACCTCTCTTAATCACAACCTGCATATTTCAAGAGTACCTTCCCCTTAGGACTAAATAAATGTAAATAGGGGAGATGGTTCTTAGCAAACACACATTTATAACCAGCCTAGCTCTGGGGCACATTAAGACCACATTGCTCTTGTATTCGTGTCACCCGGTTCTATTATTCTTTTGCTGCCTGGTTATGTGAGCCTTTGTGAATTTAAAGGCATGTTTGCTGTAACACTGCTTTTTTATTATCCCAGCATCACTGCTAATAATTCTCAGACTGTTCCGTCTGAAATTAACAACACAGTGCTGTACTCTTTGGCCCTATAGGGGAGAAAAACATTTTACTCAACCCGTTTAGGGTCCTTGGTGGGGTCTGAATATTAAGCTGACAAAGACATATTAACAGGAGAAAAGTATACACACTGTATTGAGTTTTTACATGTACTTGGGAGCCTTCACACGAGAATGAAGACCTGAAGAAGTGACTAGAGCAGGAAGCTTTATACCTTATAGACAGATAATACATTTGTGAAGAATTGAGAAGATAAAGGGATTTGGAGCAGGGGTAGTAACTGATGAAGAAGTAACTAGGAAGATAATGGTGAGATAATAAGGTTTGTTTGCCAGTTTTTCTGGTTTTGTCTCTGGGCTGGTAAAAGTCTGTCTCCAATACAAAGAGAATTTATTTATTGCCTTTAGACAAGTGGTGGTGGGGGCGGGGAGCTTTCTCTGCTTCTTAATTGTCTTTAGCTCAGAATAATTTTTATGTCAAAGAGGCATATTTTGGGGTGACATATGCTGGTTTCCTTCAGCCCTCATTTTATTTTATTATATCTAATTTCTAGAGAAATAGATTTTGGACCCCAGTTTTCATTATTGGCACAAGGACTATCTTGTAGTGAATATGTGGAGGATATTGTTATAAGACATAAAACATTTTAAGTTAAAATTGGCAGTAACTTTTAAAGTAAGAAGATGATACCTATCAAAATTAGATGGGGAAGTTCAAGTGCATGTAAAGAACAAAATGGTTTGCAAAGGCAGGTTGTTCTAAATCAATGTCAAAGTTTGACTTGAGAAGAGTAGAGAATTTTTGAATCATGTCTTTGTCTTCTCCCTTAATCTATATATATTCTAATGCTTTGCATTTTTTTAAATTTAGGACTCCATGCACACAGGAAGCTTGCCATAGAAGGATTAGAGAGTAACCTGTCTTTCAGATCAGCAGCCAACCAACCATGGTCTCTAGGCCTAGAAATTAGACATGTCCCTCACAAGTCCAAACTTATTTCCTCATTAGTGATTCTGGGATTCTGGTTGTTCACAAGCAGTTTTGAAAATGAGTGGTTGTCTAGTTAGCTTAGGCTGCCTTAACAAAATACCAGAGGCTGGGTGCCTTAACAATGGAAATGTACTTCTCACAGTTCTGGAGTCTAGAGTCCAAAATTGAGGTGCTGGCCAATTTGGTTCCTGTTAAAGGCTCTCTCCCTGGCTTGCAAGCAACCGCCTTCTCACTGTGTCCTCACATAGGAAGGAGGGAGGGAGGGAGGGAGGGAGGGAAGGAGGGAGAGAGAGAGAGAGAGAGAGAGTGAGCGAGTGCGCACTGGTCTCTCACCCTCTTCTTATAAGGTCACTAATCCCATCATGGGGGCCCCATCCTCATGACTTAATCTAAATCTAAGCACCCCCAAAGGCCCCCACCTCCAAATACCATCATTTTAGGAGTTAGGGCTTTAACACATGAATTTGGGGAAGGGGGAGATAAACATTCAGGCCTTTGCAATGAATGCTTAAGGAGATTTTGAAAAGCATAAAGTGATTTGCAAATTTAAGGTATTTTTATTAGTACTCGTTACATTTTTTATTGGCAAGTTTTTAAACATTTCCCCAGTTCCTTGGTTTCTAAGGAAACCAGATTTTTTCTGAGCAATGTTCAGAAAAATAAAGATCTGGTGCAATTTGAAATTGAATAAGGGAAATAGCAAATGTGCAGAGAATTGGGACTCTGTGACAATACATACTACAGCAGTATCTTACATTTCAACTCTGAAGCTCCAATTCTTACTGTATTGCTACCCTATTGCAGTGTGTAAATATTATTATTCAATAGAATATATTAACACCTTATAGATTACATAGCAGAAAAGGGAACTTTGAGAGAATGGGAAGCAAGAAAGATCAGTTTTGAGGGAAGGAGACGACCTAGCAGTGTGGGCCATGTAGGACTAAGGTGGGGTGGGATGAGGAAAGGGTGAACAATCTTCCCTGAGGTCCTCCAGCAGCTTTCAGAGCAGAGGAGTGAGTAGCAGGCATACGAGTGGTAAGAAAGCACTGGAACACTCGTACGCCATGCCATTATTGGAGGGTGGGCTGATGTTAGAGAAATAGGAGGGGCACAGTCAAAACAGACTTTCCTCCTTCATAGCTAATGATGCCTTGATTGGCACCAACCATGCACAGCAGCTGGCATAGAATGTTGAATGAATAGTCAAATAAGTGATTAAGTCAAGTGAATGTACCCACTCACCCTGCCCCTGGCAGCAGTACATCTCCTGCCCTACATCCTCAAGCTCTGCAGAGTTTCAGACATTGAAACTCATTGGAAGAAGGTTCTAGAAAAAAAGAAGACTGGCGAGAACCTGGTGTCAGTTGCCAGGAGGGGACATTTTGGGATTTTGGTTTACCTAAGGAGGGATTGTTTAAACAACATAATCACCAAAATGTAGTTTCTCCCCAGTTGTTTCAATTTCTTTTCACTCTTTCGATTGCTTTTTATTTCTCCTGAGCATCTTCCCTTTCTTATGTAGATTGCATAGTTTGCTTTGGAAACAAGACATTATCCAAGTACAACATCTCTTGGAATGACCCTAGATAACACATAGGCCTTTACAACTGCAACTGTGTTTCGGTATCTGTGGTTTAGTTATTGCACATTAATTGCCATGACTTGCAGGAAATGAATCATAGCCTTGAGTGTTTGTGAATGTGTGTGTGGTGTGGCCAGAGCATGCCTTAACTCTATTGAAGCTGTAGAAGTTATTTATGAAACTTAATATTTATGCCCTTAATATTTCAAATAAATCTTTTTCATTTTGAATTTGGAAAATTTGTTTCTTTTTTATAGAAAAAAAAAATAGTGTTAATATATCTCTTGAAGCTAATTTCTAAGATGGCTTAATTATTTGAAAGAAGTACTGTTTTCTTAGTGAAGTATATATTCTAAGACCTGGAAGGCTAAGGTGTTAGTTGAGTTATTTCTATTTAGAATTGTATAGTTCTGTTATTTTGTTAAACTCAGAGTAGCATCAAATATCAAAATGAAAGGGTCTATGGAAGTTGTTCACCAGGCTTTTTGACCTTTTTCAAAAAGCTCTTTCTTTGTCTAGGCCCCTCTTTTTTTAATGGATAGTTTTTATTGTTTACAGTATTAGAGATGTCTCCTGTTTACCCCTCTTTTCCCCCATTCTCCCAGCCCCTACCCACTTCCCCAGATCTTTAATAATATGAAAAATATATTTAATGCAATCTGAAATTCAAAGCAAATTAACATAAAATATTATCACCAAAGGCGGTGTAGTGGGGAACAAAGCAAAGCAATGTAATAGAGTATAATTTTCTTCCCCCTTTTCTTTGTAAATCACATGTGGCTTTCAGGCTCTGATACCAGCCTCCGAGAACATCCCCCTAACCTCTGTTGGAAATAGTTGACTAGATTAACACCCTCATTTTACAGATAAAAAGACTGAGGTTTAAAGACTCAAGGAATGCTCACACACTCAGCATATTAGGAGCATAACTCGGTCAAAAGCCCAGACATCCTGCTGGCTGCTCCATGCTTTGTCCACAGCACCCCCCACCTGGGTCCTTTAAGGATACTGTCTGTGTGAGGGAGACATCTTTGCCAGCATCATCTCCCTGTATCTGATGATGCTGACGTTTCTGAAGGTTATCCTGACTTTACATTGTCACAGCAGCAAGGAGGCAGAGGCCAGGAGAGACCTGCCAAGCCTGGCTAAGTCTGTGGGTCCTGGCTTATTTTTATTTCCTTTATTTCACTCTGGACATTTGTACCACCATAACATAGAAACACTTCCTTAGTAGAGCTACTGGAGAATAGAGGGGAAAAAATCTCTAACTCTGAAAATGGATTCATTTATGAAATAAAATTTGGGTCTTTTACCATATTTAAAACCTTTACTCATGGTTGTCCCTGAATAATTCAACAGCTCCTCTCAAACTTCTCATTTGTTCCTTTTTTTTTTTAACAGTGTGTCCGGTGGAGAGTTGTTTGATCGAATAGTGGAGAAGGGATTTTACACAGAGAAAGATGCTAGCACTCTGATCCGCCAGGTCTTGGATGCTGTCTACTATCTCCATAGAATGGGCATCGTCCACAGGGACCTCAAGGTGAGGCCATTGCTTAGCAACATCCTTCAGCTGCTCTCCAACTCATAATGCACCTGTCCAAGAGGATTGGTTCCAGAGGAGGGATGGGGTTGCCTTGATGTAGATATGGGTGGAATAATGGTGGGCATTTGTGTACTGTTAGTCATCTGGACCTTTGTGACTCAGAAGTAGCTTGAAGGAGGATGAAGATGAGTAGGGCTGGCCACGGCCTGGGAGATTTTATAGTCATGCTGCCAAAGGGCAACCAAGAGGTACATTACGTATTGATTGAAGTCTATCTAAAAGGTAATTTTGCCCTAACCGATTTGGTTCAGTGGATAGAGTGTCGGCCTGTGGACTGAAGGGTCCCAGGTTCAATTCCGGTCAAGGGCATGTACCTTGGTTGCGGGCACATCTCCAGTAGGGGATGTGCAGGAGGCAGCTGATCGATGTTTCTCTCTCATCGATGTTTCTAACTCTCTATCCCTCTCCCTTCCTCTCTGTAAAAAATCAATAATATATATATATTTTTTAAAAGGTAATTTGTTTAAGATGTGTAGGACACAAAGACCCTTCTTCCAGTGCAGTTCTCCAGTCTTCTCCTTATTGCATCTCTGTTTCAGTACAATACGCTATATGAAAAAAAAAAAAGGAGAGAGTGGGTAGAGGGCAGGAGATGAAAGAGAAGGGAAATGGAAGGTTATCAGGAAAGACAGCGATTACAGCCTCTACAATGTCCTGGGTTCCTTTCTTATCTTTTCCTTGTGGGGCTTTGGCATCCTTGCCCTTCACTTAATAGCACTGAAGGACCTGGGCCATACTTGGGCACCTTGGAAATACATTCCTCCCCAGGTCTATGTCAATACCAAAGGGCAGATAACGAACATATCATTTTGAGGAACAGTACAGTTAGCATTGTTGACCCAAGGTTGTAATGTGGCTTCATCTACAGCAGCTCCAGGTCTAACCCCCAGCACTCACTGCATCCTTCCAGGTAGAAATTCTACCTCAGCACGCGTACCCACCACTCATATCATAAACACAGAGATCATATTGCACTGAAGCCATATACACGACTATTAGAAATCTAGACCAATTTAAAGAATAAATTCTAAGCACGAGTGAAAATGGAATTTCAATATCTCCCATTATCTGGTACTAGGAGTCAAGGTATAAAATGGTGTAGCTTTTCCTTTCATAAGCACTCACTGTAAAGTTTTCTCTTCTTCTCTCCATGTTATCATTTTCCATTGAGTAGGCTAATGGCTCCCAAATGTCAATCTGTATCAGAATCATCTAGAGCAGGGGTCCTCAAACTATGGCCCTCGGGCCACATGCAAATACAAATATTGTATTTGTTCCCATTTTGTTTTTTTACTTCAAAATAAGATATGTGCAGTGTGCATAGGAATTTGTTCATAGTTTTTTTTAAACTATAGTCCGGCCCTCCAATGGTCTGAGGGACAGTGAACTGGCCCCCTGTTTAAAAAGTTTGAGGACCCCTGATCTAGAGCAGTGGTTCTCAACCTTCTGGCCCTTTAAATACAGTTCCTCATGTTGTGACCCAACCATAAAATTATTTTCATTGCTACTTCATAACTGTAATGTTGCTACTATTATGAATCGTAATGTAAATATCTGATATGCAGGATGGTCTTAGGCGACCCCTGTGAAAGGGTTGTTCGACCGCCAAAGGGGTCGCGACCCACAGGTTGAGAACCGCTGATCTAGAGGGCTTGGAAAAACACAGATTGTTGGCCCCACTCCAGACGTTCTGACTCTGTAGGTTTGCAGTGGGGCCGGAGAACTTGCATTTATAAGGAGAGTCTGGGTGATGATGATGATGGCTTGAGAACCCCTCTTGGAAAACTGCTGGGTGAGAGTATTTGGAAATGTCAAGTCCTTACCTGTCACCCTTTGCAGGCTTCTTCTTTTTTGTTTTTGTTTTTGTTTGTTTGGTTGGTTTTTGGTTAATCCTCACCCGAGGATATTTTTTCCATTGTTTTTTTTTAGAGAGAGAGGAAGGAAGGAAGGAAGGAAGGAAGGAAGGAAGGAGAGAGAGAGAGAGAGAGAGAGAGAGAGAGAGAAACATCAATGTGAGAGAGACACAGCAATTGGTTGCCTCCTGCAAGCACCCTACAAGAGCCAGGGATCGAACCTGCAACCCAGGTACGTGCCCCTGATGGGGAATTAAGCCTGAGACCCTTCTAACCACTGACCAACTAGCCAGGGCCTTTGCAGGCTCCTTGGCAGGTGAAATGGGCTGTGAGCACAATGAGCTAATCTTAGGACCTGGAGATCCTTTAGAGGGCTAAGTAAGGGCTAGATAGAGAAGATGATTTAGCTGGCACTTCTATGCCAGTCAACAGTGCTTCCTCTGCTCTCTATGCCCTCACCAAACACAGAATCTATGCTTCCAGTACACAGCAGGCAGCCATCTTATTAGAAATAATTTCTAAGCAGGAAAGGCATTTCCCAGAGGGGCAATGTTTATTTCCCCCATAGAAAGGCAGATTGGCTGCATGGGAGATATCATTTTTCACTCCCCACATAACTCTTTTGGTAAAACACTTGCAGCTTCCAGCCCGTGGAGCTTTAAGATCACCCACCAGGCTTATAATTGTGGAAGGAACATTGCCATTTTAGGGCCTTTTTGTGATCTCTTTTCAACAATACGAAGGAATTTGATCTATGTGGAGGAAGTTAATGTTAAATTTTCATAAACATCTGAGAAAATTAAAACAAGCTATATTATTTAGGCTACAGCAATGGAGAAGATGATCAAGTTAATTTAAAACTAAGGCACAGCCCTGGCCAGGTGGCTCGGTTGGTTGGAGCATCATCCTGTACACCAAAAGATTGCAGGTTCCATCCCCAGTCAGGGCACATATGGGAGGCAACCGATCAATGTTTCTCTCTCACATCGATGTTTCTCTCTCTCTCCCCCTTCCTCTCTCTCTAAAAACAACAACAAAAAACAACAACAAATAAACAAACAAAACAACATCCTCAGGTGATGATTAAAAAACAAAACTAAAAAGAAAAAACGACTAAGGTATATTCTGGGATACTTCCCCACCCCACATTTAAATATGCTTTCTTCTTCCTCCAGAAAGGTATTATTGTATCTTCTTGCCCCAGAACACTACTAGATACAATCAGTTGTTCTTTTTTCAAAATAAGAGACTGAGACAGGAAATGCCCACTACTGCCTCCTCAGATTAGGGTAGGGCTTCTCAGCCCTGCTCTAGTGACACAGGGACCTGGATCATTCCTTGTAGTGGGGCTGTCCTGTGCATTGTAGGATGTGTAGCCGCACCCTCGGCCTCTACCAACCAGATGCCAGTACCACTCCTGGAGTTGTGACAACCAAAAATGCCTCTAGGCATTGCCAACTGTCCCCTAGGGTGCACAGTTGGCCCCAGTTGAGAATCATCATATTGAATTAGGAAGATGGTTGATTATGTGTAACATTAACTTTACAGGAAGTGTTGACTCAGATATTTTAATAGCTTGTCATGTGAATATTAAAGGGTTGGTTGACCTTCCAACTCAGGTATTGGCCACCAATTGTCTTGCAAAGATGCTATAAAATATAGTAAGCTAATTTTTCAGGTGAGTCCTGAGCCTCCTAGGACCCCAGGAAGAATTGAGAGATCTCCCCATCTACCATACCCGCCTCCGACAGCCCTCCTAATGCCCACGGGGGCCTCCATCCAGGTTATCCCTGAAGTCTGTCCTCTCTCCCACTTTCTTCCCTGTCCCCCCAACAAAAAGCCCTATTGTCTTTACTAGTCTTGAGCCAATTAAGGTATTGATCTTAACTGTGAATGACCAGTCCATTGAATCCTTCTTAGGGATAATTGTCCTTTGAAAGAGCACTTCGAAGTGGGTCTTCTGTAGGAGGAATGTTTAAGAAGGATTTTGGGCCCTTTGGTGATCTCCTGCCTGGACGAAGCCTTGTTCAGAAGCAGGAGCTCACTGACTTTACAGCTGCACAAGTGCTGGGACAAGAAAGATTGTAACTCGGGAACTTAAAAGCAGAAAGCTGCTCTCTGCACCCTTACTGTTCATCAAAGGGTAACCCCTAAGCATTCAGAGAGAACATGAAGAACCACATGCACTTTTGATTAGATCATTGCCCCTACTTTCTAAACATTATTCTTATTTTGACTATTTATTAGCCCACTTCATTCTCTTTTAAAACGCATCTCAAAATCATACACTGATTTTCTTCTGATCTTATCTTTATCCACAGAATTAATGTTGCAGTGACTGTTCAATGCCATTTCTTTTTATGTTATCATTTTGGGTAAAGTATAGAGGGAAAAAAATTGGGGTTCTGTTAAAGAAAAACAAGTGTTCTGACCCTTGTTAAATGGTAAGGAAGATTTTATTCAAGACTGGTGCAAGAGGGTGTTCCAGTATCAAAATAGGGAAAAGAATCCAACTAAACTCCAAATTCAGCAAGGGAGGTGAGGGTAGGAGGGCGATACTTATGGGCTCGAGCCGAGTGAGGGGTCATGGATGGACAGTTACTAAGAGGAGACATCAAGGGTAAGGGGATCCTTGCTAAAAGCAGGCTAAACGCTTACACACTGACAGACAAAGGAGACTCACCAAACTTGAGTGGACACCCCTGAGCCTTCTTTTTGACTAGGTCCTGACCTTGGGTTTACCTTGAGTCCATTGGCTCTGCCCACTTAGTTCAGTCTTAGTGAGAATCCTGACGATTTAGCAGAAATCCCCACCCTTCATATCTGATCAGATGCCTTGTTCCCTGCCCTCCATATCTAGCCATCCTGCAGCCAGAGTCCCCCTTATCCTTGATGTTGCCTCTTAGCCACTTTTTTGTCCACTGACCCCTACCCTGACCTTTGGCTATAATTCTCCACTTGTCCTTATTGTATTCAGAGTTGAGGTCAGTCCCTTTCCCCTACTGCAAACCCCACTGCAGTAATCTCCCCTGAACAGTCTTCCTAACCATCGTTAACAGGTGTCTGAATAATATTTTTAACAACATCAAAGGGTGGGGATGAAGAACTTGACCAGATATCAAGAGTGAGGGATTCCCTCTGAACTGACTTAGCAGGATTCTGGCAAAGACTGGCTGTGCAGGCCCAGCAAGGACAAGGAGGGACACAGAAGGCCAAGGTCGAGGTCTGGTCAAGAAGAAGGCTCAGACGAGCCTGACTAAGGTTTGGTCAAGAAAAGAGTCTTGGTCAGTTCTCACAATTTCTCCACAGCAGCAATTGCACCTCAGAATCCCCCTCCCCTAAAGGAATTCTAAAATCCAGAGGCCTGGGCCAACCTCACATCCACTGAACAGTATCCCCAGCCATTTAGTACCCTCTCCGCTGATTCTGCTGCACAACTAGGCTGAGAACCACTTTTCTAAATTAGGCAAGTCACTCTACAAAAGAGTAGTTCCTAAAATGCAATACTTAGGAACCAAATATTCACCACAAGCCACTGACAAGAGAGAATATTGCCTCACTCCTGGGGTTGGGAGGAAACCCAGATCCGAAATGGTATGTATGGGCAAGTGAGTTCCTCAATGCAGACTCTTCTGCTGCATTCCCTTAAGGTTCGGTACAAATGAGGGACATGAGTATGTTTCAGTTGGTATAGTTTCAGAGTTTTCTGGGTGGGGGGACATAACTGGACGACAGCAGAGGTGTCAGTCCTTGACATTATCTCCCTCAGTGACAACATCATTAATTGAACAACTTTTCCAGAATGGACAAAAAAAAGTGAGCGCCCCTGTGTTCAGGGTCTCAACCTGGCAGTGCAGGGACCGTTCTGAGGCTGACACACCTCCCTCAGTCTCCACAAGTCCTGCCCCCGTTCTTTGCCAGGAACCCCAAGATTCCTGGATTTTACTTAAAATGCTATGCAAATGAGGCTTCATTGTCTCCCCCTTGCAACTCCTGTTGTACAGCAAGGCAAACAGCAGCTAAGGGTACTTAAGGACACATGGCTGGAAAGTGCTGGGTCTTCCAACTCCCACTCATTCCCTGGTGACATCCCTCTGCTGGCCAGGGAGCAGAACAGGCAGGTGTCAGCTGGCTCAGGAAAGGGGAAAGTGAGCACATCTGCCTGAACTATGGGATGGGCGGGATGGGCGGGCGGGCAGGCATTGCTGAGGGCAGGGGGAGCGACTCTTGGGTTAGAGAAAGGTTGCCAACAAGGGTCTGGTGAAAGAACAAAATAGCACCTGCAAAAGTGATTTTATTTCTGGGTCTCCCCTTTCTCCTAACCCAGGAAATGAACCGACAAGTCTGAGAGCCCCAGCGTCCTAGTGCTAATCTAAAAATAGAGGGAGAGGCAACGTGTATTTATTTGAGACCAACGAGAATATTTGTATTTGGGTATCATTAATCCAGGCAGAAGCCCAGATCGTGTTCTGATTGGGAGACAAAGGCTAGGGAAGGGGAACAACTCTATCAGTAGAGGGAAGGTGTTTCTGTTGGTGCAGGTAACATAACTTAGGGATGTTCATTCTCAATAATGTTTTTAATTTTCAGTCCATCAGTCATAAGAACTGCTTTCTTGTTGTCATTGTATACAGTGCTTTTGGGAAACAACATTTCCCTCGGCCCAGTCCAGGGGTTATTTTGCCCTGTTGGTACCATTCCAAGGTCTGAGGCATCAGCCCTGCAGGGCAGTCCCTCTGGCATGGCAGCTCTGCTTACCTTACTGTTTTCACTGGATTGCCTCCAAACGGGGTTAATTTTTTTAAGTAGGGAAAATATTAATAATGGGAGAGGGACTAACATTTATTGAAAAGTAGTAAATGCCCTCTCCAGTGCTTCATTAAAGACCACTTTTCTTAATGCATTCACTACATCTAAAGGTCAAGTATATTTTTGAATAGTGAATAGATTTTTGTGGTTTGGTGAGTCCACAATTAACCAGCTCTAAACACAGTTTGTAAATACTTTTCTTATTTTCTTTTTAGCCTGAAAATCTCTTGTACTACAGTCAAGATGAGGAGTCCAAAATAATGATCAGTGACTTTGGATTGTCAAAGATGGAGGGCAAAGGAGACGTGATGTCCACGGCCTGTGGGACCCCCGGCTATGTTGGTGAGGACAGTGTGTGTGTGTCCCTGCGTGTCACCCTCACCAGTCTTCTTAAGCATTTGAGGCTGGCACATGATCACAGCTGCCTGCATTCCCCTGGAGGGAAGAATAAAAAGAGGGAGAGACACTGGAAGGAGCTGGAAGGGAAGGGATTCCGCTCGAAACCTTTTAAGAGTTGGGGAGAAATCCTGTTTGATTTGGGTGAGGGCCTGACTGGAGGCCAGAACTTGATTTGGATGAATTCCCAGATTCTAATACCAGAAAAGTTCATGTGTTTATGTTTTCAAATGCTTTACAGTGAGAGGCTGAGATAACAATAAGGTGCAGACACAAATAAAACATTTAAAATGTTGAGTTAGAAGCAGCTGGAAGCCAAATGTCGATTGGAGGACTCTGGTTGGAACCTTAGAGAAGTCACTCTCATGAATTAGCCAGTCTTGATCTGCACTGGAGAAACAAAGAATGAACGTTTTCCTTAAAATGAGAAGCCCAGGTTTTTTTTGTACTAAACATGGGGATGCCGAGGAGGCTACTGACAGATAGGAACACACGGACCCTGAGATTCACCTTCTGTCTTCTGGGACCTGGAGAAAAGCCATTGGAACTCTTTGTGAAGTTTTTGAGAATTTCATTTACAGGAATATATTCATTCATTTAGCAAATGTACATTAAAGTGCCTGCTATGTATCAGATGCTATTCCAGGCACTAGGGTGATGGCAGTGAATGAGCCTGTCTTCCTGCAGCTTACATTGTAGTTGGGAGTAACAGACAGTAAACAAAGAAACAAACAAATGAACAGGGTTGTTTCAGATTGTGGTAAGTACTACGAATAAAAGAAAATAAAACAGGGGCATGTGATAGAGTAACAAGGGTGCAGAGGGATTGGAACTGGCTTCAGGGGATAGGGAGGAGACTTGGGCAGCCAGCCATGGGAATTTAGGGGACATAACATTCCAGGTAGAGGCATCAACGTGTACAATAGCCCTAGGTGGGAAAAAGCCCAGGGAGAGTGTACAGGCTAGTCTGAGAATAGTTAAAACTGAGGTTGGAAAAGACTTTTAGAAAACGGAGATTACGGCTGAATTTTCATCATGCAAACCATGATGGTCTTTCTTAATGAGAACAGGAAGCCTGTCCCAGAAGAAAGGAGGGAATATTATACAACCAACATCATTCCTGTTTGTCTTTGGTAGCAACACACAGTCTTCCTCAGAAGGCTGAGGAAAATAGGCCTCACTGTGGGCCTGGGGGCCTAGAGCTTGTGGGAAATTCCAGGGCCCAGCCTTACAGTATTTGCATAGCTGTTGCATTTTTAAGGGAACTCACCAGAGAGGAGAAAAGAGCAGGCTGAGGGAATAACTTCAGAGACAAGGAGGTTTAGAAGGAAGGGATAAAGGTGGTGGGAATGTGTCAGGGGACGAGAAGGTGTGCTCAGTGCTGCTTGGCTCTTGACTGTTGCAGGTGGGGATTGTATCCCTGGGTTGTGTGTATGCACTAGACCAGCTGTGGGCAAACTACGGCCCGCAGGCCGGATCTGGCCCGTTTGAAATGAATAAAACTAAAAAAAAAAAGACCATACCCTTTTATGTAATGATGTTTACTTTGAATTTATATTAGTTCACACAAACACTCCATCCATGCTTTTGTTCCGGCCCTCCGGTCCAGTTTAAGAACCCATTGTGGCCCTCGAGTCAAAAAGTTTGCCCACCCCTGCACTAGACAGAGAACAGATAGTTCTGATCCTATTTAAGAGGCCAGCACGGGTCTTGATGGAGATAATGCCATAGTGAGCCATCTCCGTTCTAGGAGAATAAAGTGATCGGTGTAGGAATAGGCTGGGCCCCGTCGGGGACACTGGAAGCTGTGGCTGTGTCACATGTGCAAATGCATGTGTATGCCTGGGTGGGGCGGTGGGCAGAAACGTGAGCATGTGTGGTGTGCGTGTGGAATTTCTCCAGCTCAGTCCAAGCCAGCAGGCAAGTAGTAAATCAAAACAAATGGACAAGCTTATTCTCATTTCTCTGAGAAGATGGGGAGGAAGAAAGCCTGTTCTGACCACAGACATTAGAAAATGAGAAGGTCTATGAGCTCATGGTGTCCAGGGCCCCTGCCAGGTGGCTCTGCTTCCTCAGCAGGCTGGTGCCCAGGCACTCTGAGCTAAGAAGCTGCAGAAGGTGTGGTGGCTGCCCAGTGTCCCCATTTGGGAAGTCGGCTCTGGGGCTATGATTTCATGTTCTGACAAAGAATGTCCATATTTACATATGCATCAGACTGCTCTCATATTTGGCTCTGAGGTTGGAAAGCTTTAGCACTTTCTAAATTGGTTTTTGCTTCTTTGCATCCTGGCAGAGCCCACAGAAGGGCAGTTTCTCTGGGTCTCTAAGTGACCGCCATTGTCTGGCCTGGTTCTGTTTAGATGTCAGACACTGATGAGTCTGGGGACTGGGAACAGTGTTTAGATGTGGCCCTTATTCCTACTACCCTAACTGGAGGCAAGAGGAGTCCTTGGTAATCCTCTTATCAGATATCAAGTTCTCTATGAGTGGGCAGGGGAAGAGGAGAATTGTGGGAATATAGCAATTCTGTTTCTTCATGTTTAAGCACTGAGGCTCCTGGAAGACCTTTTAGAGCAAGGAAGGGGACACATAGGGAGGCTCCTGTCTCTGTAGACATACCTCGGGCAGTGGCTTGTGTTTCGTCCCCTGCAGTCTACATGGCAGATGCCTATGCAAAGCCCTGCTTACACGTGACCTCCTTGTGATTGCTTTCCCAACACCCATCCTCTCCTTTGTCATCCCAGTTCTTTTCCTAACCCTTTCTCATCATGGCTCTGATTACACTGCCTCAGGTTCCATTTTCATTTGTGTCTCTCCCCACCACGCTGTGGGTTTTTCTAGAGCAGGGACTGTGTCTTACTCATCTTGGCACAGATGCTTGTTGACTGACTAAAAACCCCAAGGTTCTGAAAATCAGCATTTTTTCCCTTTCTCTCCTCCCTTTGTATTCATTCAGCCTGCATTTATTGAATTCCTATTATGCACCCTGCACAGTGGTTTGGTGTTAGGAATACAAATACGAATAAGACATATTTGTTCACAGTCAGTATTACTGTGAGAGACAGAGGGCAACCAGGTACATTGAATAATGTATGGTAAGCACTACATTATTCAACCATTCAAGAATTATTTATTTAGTGCCTACCATCTGTTCTAGGCTCTGAGGATACATCAGTAGAAAGAAAACAAACAGATAAAGGTCCCACCCTCATGGCACTTACATTTGAGTGGGAGCCTGACAGATGATAAGCAAACAGCTATGCATGTTAATTAGTACCTTAGATGGTGATAAGTACTCTGGAAAGAAATAAAGCAGTCAAGAGATGAGCAAGTGTGTGTGTGTGTAGGTGGTTGTAGCTTTAATCATGGTGATGAGGGCAGCTCTCACCTAAGACGATGGTGATGCGGTAAAGACTTAACAGAAGTGAAGAAGCTGGCCGTGCTGTTATTTGGAGGAAAAGTATTCCAAGGGTGCTGCAAAGGCCCTGAGGCATGGAGACTGGGATGAGCAGAGAGGATAATAGGGCAGATAAAGTCAGAGAAGCAATGGGAAGGGCAGGTGCAGACCAGGACTACAGGTCATTGTCAAAATTGTGGCTTTTACTCAGGTGGCAGGAAGCTATTAGAAGGTTCTGAGGTAAGGCATGGCATGATCTGACTTTTACCTCTAAGGTACAGGTTGGCAGAGTGGAAGTGGTGAGAAGTTGCCAGACTCCACATATAATTTGAAGATAGTATCATCAAGATTTGAAAAATTGAAAGAGAAATCCAGGGTAATTCCAAGGATTTTTTGTGTGAGCACCTGAAGTGGCATAGTTGCCTTGAATTGAGATGCCCCTGGGAGGAGCAAGTTGCAAAAATACTATCAGGGGTTTGGGTTTTGATTTTTTAAAGTCTGCAAGGTCAAGGAGGCTGCTGAAATATGAATGAGTCTGAAGTTCTGGAGAGAAATCCAGCCTGGAACTGTGCAGTTTTCTCGTTACACATGGTAGTTAAGTTCTGTGAAGTCCCATGAACACTGAGTTAGTGAAGACGGAGCCACTGCTCCGAAGGAAAGACAGGGTTAGGTTCCTGTGGGCCTCTGATCACATTTTTAGCAACTGATCAATACATACCCTTATTTTATGTGTGTTTCTGTTCAATGACACCTTATTTAATGTTATTGTTGATTTATTAACATTGAACTCATGGCCAACAGCACATGACTCGTTCCTGAACAAACCTGGTCAGACACATGTGTTTTCTCCTTAAGGCACATCCAGGCCTTCCTGTGCTTAAGAACTCTACCACACTTCGGCATTATAATTGGGGCCCATCTGAAACAGTGAAGTCAACAAAACGCACCACAATGTGAAAAATGTGGTGCTAATTAGATCATGAAAACAATACTTGTTTACAGTGTGAGAGCCAAACTAGAGGGCAGAGCATTGCCACTTTGACTCACCTGGGAATGTGCACCATGGGCAACTCAAAGGTTTGGCCACTCTGCTCATGTCCACAAATGACCACAAAAGCATCACGTATGGATTTGGGGGCTAGAAGTAAATTTTAGTGAGTAGGCAAATTAAAATATATGGAATCCATGAGTAATGAGGATGGGCTGTGCTTGGGAGCTGAAATTCTCTGGATGCATTTTAAAGCCAGGAATCTGGATAAGATTGCCAGCCGGGTGGGTATAGATGGAGGACAGGAAAGGCCCCAGGGCTGAGTCATGGGACTCCAGGGTCCATGGAGTCAGCAGCGGGTAAAGTAAGAAGAGAAGCAGGGAGTGTGGCATCGGAAAGTGCTTCAAGTTGGAGAAAGTACCATGTCAGTTGTTGCTACTAAGTCAAGTAAGATAAAGACTGAATGAGTATTGATCATTGGTTTTGGGGATCTTGAATTATAACTTAACTAGAAGCCCAGTGCACGAATTTGCCCATAGGTGGGGTCTGGCCTGACTGCCC